CTTCAGATTTACCGAAGTGTTATTAGGTCTGCTAATTAGTGACCTATTCTGTTTTGCCAAAATAACTTCTAAAGACATTGCCTCGCCCTAGCCAATTCATTGGTTTTTATAAAAATGGAAATAAAAGCCCCTGCCTTTGAAATACTATTTTCCTCCACTCTCTCCATCCTCTACAGATAGAGGCAACATGATTATTTAAGGAAAGGTCAGTGGGTGAGAACATTTCTTTTCATTGATGAGTATTTGTTTTTCTTGCCTCTCTCACCTCAGCCCTAGAATCGGCTCCAGGGGTTTCTGTTTTATGATTCTGAGATTACTTCCTCATTTTTGTGCATTTTTGTGCAGTAATTATATTTCGAGATGAGAATGGAGGACTTTAAAGAAAAAATAGGCCTATTCCACATGACCGTAAACAGTCCAAGACAACCACAGCTGGTTGTTAAGAAATGAGTAGAGCCGAAACCGGTTTGGCTCAGTGGATAGAGTGTCGGCCTGCAGACTGAAGGGTCCTGGGTTCGATTCCAGTCAAGGGCATGTACCTTGGTTGCGGGCACATCCCCAGCAGGGGGTGTGCAGGAGGCGGCTGATCAATGATTCTTTCTCATCGATGTTTCTAACTCTCTATTCCTCTCTCTTCCTCTCTGTAAAAAATCAATAAAATATATTGAAAGAAAGAAAGAAAGAAAGAAAGAAAGAAAGAAAGAAAGAAAGAAAGAAAGAAAGAAAGAAAGAAAGAAAGAAGTAGATTGTACATAGAAAGTCATTTCTTTTCAATTTAGTGGACCGATACATTGGGCCAGTTAACAAATCAAGTCAATGTTTTGACACTGAAATGGTAAGGAGTGCCTTTGTCCTCAAGAATGGTGGGAGCGGTGGTTTGTAAAAGCTATCGTTCCGTTGGTACTATAATAGATGCACTTGAATCAACTATGAATTAAGAGCCAATGTACGATGTAAGCTCAATCTATTAGCTCCTAAAGGGTAGTGTTCCAACTAATGACACTAACAAAACTACAGTGTTCCCCACATTCACACGCATCAGCAAGTACATTAGCCACGTCCCTGCCATCAGATTGTTCCTCTACCCCTTCTTCTCTACTGAATGACAGAAAGCCTTCAACAGGCCTCTGAGAAGGACAGAAAGGAGGGTGTGTGGGGGTCAGTGCTGGGCAGCTTAGGCAGAAGGGGAAAGTCTGTTGCTACAGCCAGTAACTTCTGTTCTGGGCTTTCCCTCGAGCTCCCCAAGCCACATCCTCATGGTCCCTCAGACCACAGGCCTTGGGCTGGAGCAGCATGGCCAGGACGTTCTCACAGGAGAAAGGCTGAGTACAAGGGGCAGAAACGATACCTCTAGGGCTTGAGCAAGCACTCACTATGCCCCTCACAGCAATGGAACCACTTGCACATGTAGCCTTTGTGTTCTGTGCTCCCATCTTCCTTCCCACCTCGGTGGGCCAGCATAAACCCCTGGTTGGAGCGAGGCTTGTCTCCTACTCCAACCCACCTCACCTCCTAGTAGGTCTTTACTGCCTGAGGAGGCATTTCTCACAGGTGGTCCAGATGGGATGGTGACCTCTCAGCCTTCAGAAGTATGTGACCAATAATGCAACGTCTCACATTATATAACTAGAGGCCCATGCCTGCACCCTCTTGCAATCTGGCATCCCTCGGGGGTTGTTGGACAGCCGATTTCAGCCTGATCCCCAAAGGCCAGGTTGAGGGACCCTGCAAATGCACCATTGGGGTCGGGGGGGGCACGTAAGGACTCCAGGGCGTGTCTGGCCCATCTCATCCAGTCCTGATCAGCCAGATCCCAGCAACAAGCTAATCTGCAGGTCAGAGTGACTGCCCCCTGATGGTCGTTCAAATGGTTGAACGAATGGTGGGACACTTAGTATATTAGGTTTTTATTATATAAGATAGCCAACCACTTACATAGCACTTAAATCTCACCACAACCATATGTAAGGGGTATTGTTATTATTATTATTCCACAGATGAGCAAACTGATGTTAAGAAAGGTTAAGTAACTTCTGTGACAAGAAACTTGTCCGAAATAAAGCCAAGCTTTGAATCCAGGCAGTGAGGTATGAGTATCTACTTTTAACCATTGCTCCACACTACCTTTACATAAAACATAAGTAAATCTGCACGAAGTATCTAAGTCTGCATAGCCAGTCAGAATTTAAACATTGCATCTGACAAGTATAGGATGACATTTTTTTCTCATAGAACTGACTCTTGTATATAAAAATCAGAACTGACCAAATAAATTAGAGCCAGAAGAAATTCCTCATCTGGGTGAGATGGCCTTCAAGAGAGGCAGGGCAGTTCCTTTGTTTCTTCCTGCACTGCTACTGCGATTGATGAATCACTGTGTCGCCACTTAACACATCCTTACTGGGCACCTGTAGATTGGCATTATAATAACTTCACCCCAGGTTAATTATCCTCCTCAAAAAATTTCTGTTTGGTCACCCAGAGGTCTCAGACAGTGGGGGTTTTGTGTGTGTGTGTGTGTGTGTGTGTGTGTGTGTGTGTGTGTGGTGGCAGGGAGAGGGGAATTGCTTGGAGCTCCCTGTGTATAGAAGGATAGAAAGTAATTAAAAATCAGAATGTAATTTAATTCAAAATCAAAAGGCATTCTCATCTACGCTGTCATGAAAATTGTGCGAATTGGCAAGTTAATGAGTATGTTGCCTGGGGTGAAGTCTGCCCTTAACTTGTGTAATTAGCAAAAAAAGGAGAGAGACCTCAGTGAGTCCTATAAATGAGCAAGACAAGATGATTTCCTGCCTGACGGTGGAATCATTAAGAATGCAAGAGCCTAATGCACTGGGGCCACTTCCAGGGGACAAATGATGTCTGGGCTGCGGCAGGAACCGCTATCTTCTGTCTGTGGAGTCTCCCACGGAGCCCATCTACCCTCCATGTAGGGAAAAGAGAGGATTTGGTATGTGCCATCTCTGTGCATTATATATATATATATATATATATATATATATATATATATATATATATATATATATATATATATATATTTTAGAAGCCCGGTGCACAAAATTTGTGCACAGGATAGAGAAGGGTCCCTCAGCCAGGCCTACACCCTCTCACAATCTGGTATCCCTCAGGGGATGCCTGCCTGCCTGATCATCCCTAACCACCTCTGCCTGCCTGCCTGATCACCTCTAACTGGTCTGCCTGCCTGATCACCCCTAACCACCTCTGCCTGCCTGATTGCCCTTAATTACTCGCTTACCTGCCTGATCACTCCTAACCACTTGTCTGCCTCTCTGATTATCCCTAACTGCTCACCTACCTTCCTGATCACCCCTAACCACTCTGCCTGCCTGATGTCCCTACCCACTGGCTTGCCTGCCTGATCGCCCCAACCACTAATCTGCCTGCCTTATCACCCCTAACCACTCTGCCTGCCTGCTGATCACCTGTAATTACTCACCTGCTGGGCTGATCGCCCCTAACCACCTCAGTCTCAGCATTTGCCACCGCAGCTTTGTCCAGAAGGATGTCCAGAAGGTTGTTTGGTTGTCCAGTCTAATTAGCATATTACACATTTATTATTATAGATATCGCATACCTAAAAAGTGCCAGAATACTCCATGAGTTGTTGTCTTTGGATAGGGTTATGCATACACAGAGTGACACAGGCATGGTAACCATTGTCACTGCAATTACCCTGCCACATGCAAATGACACACACTAGAGATCATCTAAGTATAAAAAGACAAAATCACTATTAACATTTTGCTGTAAACTTATATTCTTTTTTAAAAAGCGTTTTGTGTAAAGTTACCAAAATGGAATTATACTACGTGTTGTTTCATACCTGATTTTTAACTCAAACATTTTTACATGCTTATTAAACACTAGAGGACTGGTGTACAAAATTCGTGCACTTGGGAAGGGGGGTCCCCTCAGCCCAGCCTGCACCCTCTCCAATCTGAGACATCCCCTCACAATCCAGGACTGCTGACTCCCAACCACTCACCTACCTGCCAGCCTGATCTCCCCCTAACTACTCCCCTGCCAGTCTGTTTGATGCCTAACTACTCCCCTGCTGGACTGGTCACCCCCAACTGCCCTCATGGGCTGGCCTGATTGCCCAAAACTGCCCTCCCTATTTGGTTATAGCATATTATTCTTTTAACAGGTTATTCAATATATTATTTGAAATATTTATGTTTTATTATTGTTAAATTCAATTTCCCTTAACACTCTATATTTGCCAAGTTATGATATTAAGGTTGGGTTATTCTCATGTTATGAACTTGGTAACTTTCCTCTTTTTCTAAGCTTTGGAATAACTTAATTGGCATAAGCATGCCTGTTGCTTATTAAGTGGATTTAACTCACCTGTATCATCTAACTCCCCTATATCACCTGTGTTATCTGCAGCCAGAGCATTTTTTAAAGCTTTCTCTTTCACTCGATATTCAGAATGTGTGTTAAAATTCCAAAGTTCACCTAACAATTTTGAGAGTCAGACAATGAAAGACTAACTCATCGATTTTCTTAGAATTGTGAAAACGAACACAAAAATCTCAAACACAATGTTTCCATCGCTTCTTTGGATTTCATTAGCCCTTGGCAAAGATTATTTATGCTTAGCTGAAGATTATGGATTCCGGTATTGTGTTCAAAACTGACTCATTGTTCTTCAGAGACTGCAGAAATGTCCAACCTCAATTTCCCAGGAAAGAGCTGAAGAGAAAATATAGAATAAGAAATAAGATGACCCTTCACCTTATCTCTTAGTTCTCCTTGAGCACACCTGGATATATGTATCTACATGAAGGTGCTTAAGAGATTACAAAAACAGTTTCTGTTCTCATCAGACTTTTCATCGGAGGCAGGGGCCCTACCTGTGTATGCTGGTTTCTTCCCACAGACAGCGTGATGCCAGGTGAATTCCAGGACCCACTATCGCTAGCCTCTTTAGTTACCGTGACCACAGTAACAGCATGTTTTTCTTTATTCAGGACGTCTGCGCTAAGGCTTATCTGGCCCTCCGTCATCACACAAACCTCCTGATCATCTTGTTCTCCATGATGCTGATGACGGGAATGCCCCAGCTAACAAGCAAAGAAGATATTGAGTACATTCGGGATGCCCTGACCGTGGGGAAAAGTGAGGAGGATGCTAAGAAGTATTTTCTCGATCAGATTGAAGTTTGCAGAGACAAAGGGTGGACTGTGCAGTTTAACTGGTTCCTGCATCTTGTTCTCGGCATCAAACAAGGAGAGAAACATTCCGCCTAATGCTTTGGGCTAGAAAAAACAAGTTAGTGTTCCAAAGCTTTAAATTAGCATGTCAATCATCAACATTGGATTTAAATTGTAATAGGACATTATGAAAGCTGGCACTCCCAATATATATAGCTCTTTCCCTAGCTGAGCTCTTCACTGGAGAAAAATATTGGCATGTCTGATTGTTTAAGGATAGTTCGGTTCTAGGCCTATTTGCAGATTTGTTTCTATCTCATTTGTCTCAGTGATTTTGGAGAATAGTCTACGTTTAAACAGACTCATCAGTTCCTTGTTGTGCCTGATGTTTTGACTATCTTATTATTGAGTGCTTCTGGAAATTCTTTGGAATAATTTGTGATATCTATTTTCATGTGGGTTTACTCTCAATTTTGGTTCTCCTTGTGTTCCTCAAGCTCTTTACAGAAAATAATGCGCTCATTGTAGTCTTTACCTTACCCCTAACGGTATTTTCAAACATCCCCTCGTTGTCTGCAGATACCAGGGAGACACTAAAAGGAAGGAAAGTGAGATCGTCTTTTTAGTGTCTTTTGCAATGAGGTCCCAACTGAGACGCACAAACACAGAATAGAAAACATGAACCTTTGTGCCTTGGCCCTTCTCTGCGGGCTGGTTCCAAGATTATAAATAGGGAACAAGAGAGATGAGACCCTTTGTCCCCACTCCGTCCACAGAGTAAATTATTAAGTGCAACTATTATAGCCTTGTCCAGCATAGAACCAAGAAGCAAGTAAAGGGACTCATTTTTCATATTTTTCTCCCTCCCTTTCTCCCTGCCTCTCTTCTCCCTCCAGCTACCCTCCCACAGCTTTTTACCCAGAGTTGTGAAATTTTCAAGAACCCCTTTACTCTAGATTCAAAAATTAGTTGAGAAAGAATTTCTCCAGTAGGGTTACTTGGATTTTTGGCGTTTATTTGTAAAGATATTTGAAGCAGTTTGTTGTTGTTGTTGTTTTGTTTTTTTTAAGTATATTATTAAAGGAGACATTCTAGAAATTATGAATTAGTTCCAATTATGTTGGTTTTAAATTTTGGTCTGGGCAGCTTTTTCTTTTTCTTTGTTTTTAACGGAAGAAGATATTTGCTATCTAAAAAGTACCCGAGTTAGGAAGAACACTACTTGCCCTATCCACTGCTCAGTCTAAAGAACTATTAAACTTTGACACATTCTTCAGGTTTTCAAAAAACAATTGAAATGTCTTTTTCAAAAACTATTACCATTTCTTAATTACTTTGCTATTTATTGGCTAACCTTAGAGAAAGTGTTGGTTAACCTTAGAGAAAGATCGTTATTTATAAAATATATTAAAATTACTTCTAGGTAATACTTTACAAAGGATAATTTTGTTAACCGTGTCTATTTATATTAGATATAAATATATATAAAATTTCAATTTTTCTAAGTAGATACCTGGTTTGGTGTAAGCCAAATCTTTCTTCTGTGTATGCAAATGCTCTGTGCTTCTTAACTCTGGGTACAAATAGGAATCACCAGGGACACTTTTTAAAATGCACAGCCTGGACCAGCGGTGTAGCTCAGTGGTTGAGCGTTGACCTGTGAACTATAGGAGGTCATGGTTCAATTCCTGGTGAGGGAATATGCCTGAGTTGTAGGCTTGACCCTAGATTTGGGGGAGTGCAGAAGGCTGCCGATCGATGATTTTCTTTCATCATTAATGTCCCTGTCTCTCCCTTCCTCTCCCTCTCTGAAATCAAAGATATATTTTATAAATAAATAAATAAATAAATAAATAAATAAATAAATAAATAAATAAATAAAGTAAAATACGCTGCCTGAGCACCAATCTCAGGCTATGAATTAATTCATTTGGGATGAGGCCCAGACATCAGTATTTTTCTAAGTATTCTGGGTGGTTCTAACATACAGGGTTCGAAAAGCCCTGCACGCCTTTGAAGGCATATGTGGAACTGCTGCCTTGCCCATTGAGCCTTTCCCCTGACTCATAAGGTATCGATTAAACACTTTCTTTACAGCTTATCTTTTACAATCATGTTCTGTCCCTCACAGAGGAATATACATTTCATTACAAGGACCATGCCCAGTAATGGACTGCATAATCCTCTGTGGTAATGAAGGATATGTGTTTTATTAAATATATCTTTTACAGGAGGTAAATTATTTTTTAAAACCTTAAATACAGGAATTCTGCAGCATAATTTGGAGGCTGTTAGTCCTAAGTAATTGGAAATTATTTTTGGAAGCAAGTACAAAAAAATAACTTAGGAAGTTAAGTTTCTGAAGCAAAATACTTTATTTGACCTTCATTTGATGAGCTCGGCTCTATGTGACTATGACATAAATGTCAATTGTATTTTACAATATGAATAAGAAATAAAATAATTTTTTATTGATAAAGGCTCTGCTGACTTATTTTCTACTTAATCCAGCCTAACGATTCTGGATCATACATGTGGTTCTAGTCTGGGAGTGTGTCTGCATATTCTTAGACCTGTTTGCAGGACAGGTGCCAGGAGCCTAAAGCACGCAGTGGGCCCAAGCCCCATTAAAGCTGAGACGTTCCCTCTTCCGGGCAATCCAGTTATCCCCACTTACATTTGCATATTAATTACAAATTATTGAATGTGGATTTAAATAAAATCAAATCTGATGTCTTGTGTTCTCTTGTATACATATTTTAATATCTGAAGGGGCACATAGTCCTGAAACTCAAGTTCTTTCAGGAAATCTTTTTTGAGGGGCCACTACCTACCAGACACTGGTTAAAGTACTTCAGGTCAGAATATGGAATAGGACTGATCTAGTCCCAGTCGTTAACAACATAGTTTGCTGGCGATAACAGACACTTCATAATGGGGGCTGCTGTGGGTTGAATTGTGTCCCCCAAAAGGTATGCTGAAATTCTAACCCATGGTATCTGTGATTCTGATCTTGTTTGGAAATAGATAGGACTTACAGTAGTACAGATATACCTCATTTTATTGTGTTTCACAGATGTTGCAATTTTTTAAACCTCACCTAAGGATGTTTTTATGATTTTTTTTTTTTTTTTTTTTTTTTTTTTTTTTTTTTTTTTAGAAAGAGAAGGAGAGGTAAGGGAGGGAGAGACAGAGAAATATCGATATGAAAGAGATATCCATACATTGCTGCCTCCCACACACATACCTACCAGAGATCAAAACTGAAATCTTCTGGTTTACAAGATATTCCAACCAACTGAGCCTACTTTATTGGGATACTCAACGGATAGCGGTGTTCTGGACCTGAGCCCACACTATCTGAGGTACGCCTGCAATTAAGTTAAGATGATGTCATGACGGCCCCTTAATCCAATATGACCGGTACACCAAACAAAGGATGAAGGGGGAAACCATGTGACAGAGCTGTGTCGACAAGTCTACAAGGAACACCTGGGGCTCCCAGAAGCTGGAGCAGGAAAGGGAGGATCTTCACCAGAAGCTTCCATGGGAACAAAACCCTGCCAACGCCTTGTTTTCAGACTTCTGACCTCCAGGACTGTGAGAGAACACACGTGTATTGCTTTAAGCCACCTGGGTTGTGATATTTTGTTATGGCTCCCCTAGGAAACCTAATAAAGTGTCAACAACCAAAACTTCTGTGGGGTTCTTTTTTGGGTGAGAGGCATCGGGGGATCCCACAGTGTTTGTAAGTAAACCTATTTGATGTTTTCTGCTGTTACCAAAAAGATTTAATTGCATGCAAAATACATGACAAAGTGTTAGTATTCTTGATATACAAAAAGCTCTAATAATCCAACAAGAAAAAGATGGATACTTCATTGGAAAATATTGAATTCTCACACACAAAAAATTCATGGGCCTAGTCAGTATATGACAGTAGACCCCAAATCACTGCTAATTTAAGAAATGCGAATTAAAATAATTTACATCCCTTTCACATCAGATTAGCAAAGATCGGAAATGCCAGGGTTGTTAATAATTTGAAAGAAAGGGCAGTCTATCATGCTGATGAAATCAGAGCAAGTTGGTAAAATTCGTTCATGGCATTTTGTTAAATTTTATCAAAATTAAGAAGGTATATATCTTCTAATCTAGCAAGTCCACACCCAAGAATTAATCCTTCAGAGATTGTTGGACAAGTATGCAAAGACTTATGGGCAAAAAGTTACCAGCAGTCTTTGTAATAACCAAAACTTGGAAACTGCCAAAACCGGTTTGGCTCAGTGGATAGAGCATTGGCCTGCGGACTGAAAGGTCCCAGGTTTGATTCTGGTCAAGGGCATGTACCTTGGTTGCCTGCACATCCCCAGTAGGGGGTGTGCAAGAGGCAGCTGATCGATGGTTCTCTCTCATCGATGTTTCTAACTCTCCCTCTCTCTTCCTCCCTATAAAAAAATCAATAAAATATATATATTTTTTAAAAACTTGGAAACAGCCTAGAAGTCCCTCAATAGGGAACTGGTTAATTAAATCACATGTATATCATGAACTGCAATGAAGCCCTTGATAAGTTCAGACACATCAACGTATTAACAACCATGGAGATCTATGACCTGTGCAGGAGCGAAACGAGGTGGTTCTAGGACAGTGTTACTTCACAGTCACCCTCAAGTTAAAATATAGGTTTGTATATGCATTAAAAGGCTGGGAGAATATACTCACACCAAACTGTTGATAGTGGGGTTTTTTTACATTGCATTTATTTTATTTTTTTCTCTTTGGTTTTTGGGGAAACTTGGCTTTCTATTTGAATTTCTTACCAAGGGAAGAAAATAAGTCTTTTTATTTGGGGTGAAATGCAGTCTGCATGCTCACTGGATCCTTTAGTTTTCATCAAGTCTCATGAAAAGCTTAGAAAATTATGTTTCTCAAAGAGAAATTAATCATGAGAAGTCAATGGCACTGGCATCAAAGCCATTGTTGGAACTTCTTGGCATAAAAATGACTCTATCAGGCTGGTCCGAGTGCAGTGGTGTCTTACAAAAATGACTCTGTCAAAGCTTCCTGTTTCAGCTGACCCCACCCGACTGTGA